AACATGGTGCATAATTAACAAGAGGCCCAGGGGCCACATCGCTCACCTGAGCACATCGGCTAAGAAAAAGCACAAATCAGATCAGAATTGAAAAGTTTACTGAGGGGATGGGAGGGGGGGGGGGGGTTGTTGAATTCTAATACTACTAGAGAATGCCTCCATATCAATACTGCATACAACTTCTTGAGAAAATCCTTGAGAAAAAGATTTTATTAAACAATTTGTTTCTATACATTACAGCAAAACTCAGTTATAGCGAAGTCGCTGGGATCCTATGAAATTTCTTCGCTATATCCATAATTCGTTATATCAGTATAAGAAATTCATAAAATTTATATAGTTGGGGATCCAAGATGACTTCGCTATATCCGTGAATTCGCAATATCCGTCTTCATACTAAACAAGTTTTACTGTACTTTGTAATAATTTGGATTTGACTCCCCATTCAAGATTGTTTCTCTCCCTATCCCAAAGGGTACTCACGATTTGAACAAATTTAAATCTTCAATACATGAGAATGCTTACATGTCAATGTGACTAAACATAGCTTTTCTTTTACTGGGATTTTCCCCCTTATTTTCCTGTGTAAAACTTTGATCCACCATTGAGACCCTTCCCTACGCTTGGAGGTTATGATTTGTACAAATTTAATTCTACGCTACCTGAGGATACTTCCATATAAATATCACTAATCATGGCTTTGCTATTCTTTAAAAGAAGATTTTTTAAATATATTTCAATGTAAAACTTTGATCCCCCATTGTGGCCCCACCCCATCCCTAGGGGTTATTATTTGAACAAACTTGAATCTACACTACCTGAGGATGCTTCCATATATATATCACTAATCATGGCTTTGCAGTACTTGAGAAGAAAATTTTTAAGGGATTTCCCTATACATGTATATTCCTATGTAAAACTTTGATCGGCCATTGTGGCCCCACCCTACCCCCTAGGGTCATGATTTGAACAAATTTGAATCTACACTACCTGAGGATGATTCAACATGAGTTTCATCTTTCCCGTCCCTATGAATCTTGAGAAGAAGATTTTTAAAGATATTTCCTATATATTCCTATGTAAAAATTTGATCGGCCATTGTGGCCCCACCCTACCCCCGGGGGTCATGATCTGAACAAACTTGAATGAACACTACCTGAAGATGATTCTATATGAGTTTCATCATTCCTGGCCCAATGGTTCTTGAGAAGATTTTTTAAAAATGCTGTTAATTTTTCACTACTGTAAACGTATTACAGTTGGCTGTGTATTCTTTTTATCGGCTTTGGCAGAACGCAGCAACCGCTAAATCAAGTACAATGCTAGATGTCTTGCACATATACAGGGTGTCCCATAATATATGATACCATTTTAAATTATTGTCAGAAATGCAGGTCTTGACCAATTTCTTTGAAATTTGTCTCATTAAGGTGGAATGCCACACCAACTTTTTATTTTATAGATCTTTGAGTCATCTTTTTAAAACAATGGTTTCAGCACTGAAAGGCCAATATTAGCTCTTAATTATTTTATATCAATTTTTTTGTATTTTTTCAAAGAAAATGAAAAAAATTATTTATATCCAAATAAGTTGTTTTCGAGTTAAAAGTTTACTGTAAATGAATGCCTCATATGAATATCTTATAAAATATGTAAAGAAAGGCTGGTTAGACTTTTTAATTTTTTTTATAAAAAATTATTCATGAAAATAAAACACATTATTTGTGAATATTCTTTAAACCTACGGTTAAAAACACCACAAAAGTAGTCACAACTAAGGACAACAAGTTTGTCAATCATATTTTTAAAAGAAATTGAAAAGAAATTGGGGAATTTTAGAGAAATTAGTTTTTTTAATATTTGGACCTAACCCGATCAAAATTAACACAAAATGAATAGAATGCCTATTCCTTGCCTCTTCTTGTATTTACAATGAAGAAATCTATTTTATTGTCAGGTTCAATAATGTTTTAACCCTTATAACACCTAATCAGACTAGTGTTCTTGGGGAAATGTTATTTATTTCCAATAATTGTACAATTATGGTTGGGATCGGTTTAATTTTGATCGGGATTGGCCAAAATTAAAAAAATTAATTTCTCTAAAATTTGGCTATTTCGTTTCAATTTCTTTTATAAATATGATTAATGAACATGTTCTTCCCAGTTGTGACTGGTTTTAAAATGATTTTAACCACAAGTTTAAAAAATATTCACAAATTATGTGTTTTATTTTCATAAATATTTTTTTATTAAAAAAAATTTAATATCTATACGGCTTTTCTCTACATATTTTATTAGGTCTATATAGTTGATCAAACGTACTGAATATTTCTTTCCACAAATCTAATTATACAATAAATATATTCAAATACCTTGAATTTGAAGTAGGCAAGAAACGCAATGATACTAGATTCACAATAATACTACATTATGATCTTAAAGTAAAACAAATCAGATTTTCTGAAGATCAATATCTTTTATTGCTACAGATTATCATTTAAAAAAAATAGATTGTTCTGCTCTCGAATGCACAAGATACGCCATAGTCAAACTTATATCGATACTGCAATTTTTCTTTTTTATTACAAAACACCTTAACACAGAACGGTGGTCAAAAGGTCACAATGTGTAATAGGTGTTATTTTCAAAAACGTTCAATGCCGCGCAAACAAGCTAAGAACAAAAATTAATTATTAAAATTGATTGAAATACTTGGGGAAGAATAAGTTTTTTAAATAAAAAAAATTTTAAAACTTAAAATAAAAAAAGCCCGTTAAAATTTTTGATAAATTAGAATAGAAAAAAAAAATTGAAATAATTTTTTTAATGACAATTTTTTTTTAAATTTTAATTTTTTTAATTAAAATTTAAAAATTTTTAAGGGGGAAATGTTGTTAGGAAAGTTTTTTTTATTAAAAAATAAAATTAGTTTTAAAATTAAAGTTTCTTTTAAACCCTTTCCAAAGGTGGTCCAAAAAAAAATTTTTGGTCAAATTTTATTCTAAAAACATTTTAAAAAAAAAATTTTTGTTGTCCAAAATTGTTCCAATAATTTTTTTTTTTTTAAAAAAATTTCAGAAATTCAATTTAAAATTTTTTTCTGGGAAAAATTAACCCTGGCCCAAATTTTTGCAAAAAAAAAATAATTTTTGTTATTGACTTTTTGAGATAATTAAACTTAAAAAAAATGAAATTTTTTAAAAAAGGGGCAAGGGGTGAAAAAAAAAAAACCTGATTATTTTTTTTAGATTTCTTTCTAAATTTTGTAATTTTAAAAAGGGGGGGTTTATAAAATTTTATTTATTTACTTAAATAAATTAATTTTAAAATTTAAAAATTTTTTATTGTTTTTCTTTTTCCTTTTTAAATTTCCGGGGAATTTAAAAAATTTAAAAAAATGTAGACAAATTTGAAAATTTTTGTTAAATAAATTAATTTTTTTTCCCAAACGAATTTATAACAGCAGTAAGGCAGATGTTGTTTTTATAATTTATTTATTGATTGTATGTTGTTTAACGTCCCTCTGGGGAATTTTTCACACATCTGGGGACGCCACCACTTTCCGGGGGAGGGTTACAAATTTTGTCCTAAGATGGGCACTCAGGGTCTTTGAGCAGTGAGGGATCTTTTTCGTGCTAGCACCTACTGCGACACGTGGCCTCGGTTTATACGGTCTCATCCGAAGGACCGGTCTCCACGTCCCGCAGGATAATTTATTGAAGAAATAAAGGCATTGATCTAAAATAAACAAATAAGTCAAAATTAGGAAAATTGAGAAAAAAAACATATGAGATAATTTACCTACAGTATACGTTCAAGAAAAAATAACTCCATGAAAAAATGTGTACTGTTAACAATTTAAATTGAAATCTTACAGACCCATTACTATTCAGTTACAACTTTGAATGCAAAAATACAATGAATTAAAACGTGTGCAAACAAAATAATAACAAAAATCAAATCTTTAAATGGTAAGGAAACACATAATCAAATATTCAAGTTAGATACCATTAAATGCGTAAAAACAAGCGCGAGGTCGAATGCCAGTCATTTCAGATATATTTTACCTAGGTTGTTATATTGATACTATACGGTTTGATTGCATTGGTACAACTCCAATATTTCTGATACCTATTTACAGAAAACGTAGCAAATAATTTGCTCTTATGTCATTAAATAATTCTATTCGTTCATTGTTTTTATTTGTGCACAATTGGTATGATATGCAGATGGGATTTTCCTACATTCGTTTTGACGGCAAATTTTCTAAATACGAATGAAGGTACGCAGTTATAATAAAAAAAATCAACACAGGCTCCTAATGTTGTTTATGAAATTTTAGACATAATTTTGCTTGCAAGACATTGTGTATCTTGCTTATAATCTTTTGTAAGTAGTAATAGGCATCCAGGAAAGTCGTATCATTAGTAGTGGACATGCCCCCCCCCCCTGTATATAAAATATTCAGCATTAAATGCGAGAATAAAATTTATGTTTATTACTAGGAACAGGTGTACATATTTTGATGAAATTGTTCTTAAGAGTCAAAATCAGCAAGCATCGAGCATTTAGTTAAAAAATGTGGAAAGTGGCATAGAAACAGATTTGGTTAAAACTCATATATAAATTTTCAAAACAAAGGGTATAATAGAAAAAAGCAAGCCAAAAATAATTTTTCGCATTGTTGCTATGGAAACCACGCGCCTTTCAAATAGCGTGTTTTGTACTTTATCATGACACTTGAATTTATGGTTAAACAAATATTTTTTAGTACTAGTCATTAATAAAAGCTTTTTAAATAATTATTCTATTTATCTAAAAATACTCTATTTTAACAACTGTTGATTATTGAAATTCTCTTCACCTTTTGATAAATAAAACTAGTTTTTGGAGGTTTATTTTGATTTAAAAAACAGCAAATTTGCAGTACTTAAGAAATCTACAACCACATTAAAGCTTATCAACATAAAATATATTATAAACAGTATTTGTCCTAGAAGAATCAAGAAAAAAATCTGCAGGCAACTAAAGCATTTATATATGATAACTGATTTAAATCCATAATTTTCTGTCTTTTTTGCTTCAAATTACCTCCCTTTGGTATAGCTCTCTAACATAGGAGGAATAAACGGTAGTTTGCTTACATTGTTTTCAATAACAATGTACAGAAGACTAGAAGAAAATTACAAACTTTGAGCAGTCTGAGCCTCAGTTTTGGCGTTTTCATGAGTCTTAATTACGGTTAGTGACTGAATTTTTTTTACAATTTACCATTACAACAGTTTCTGAAGAATTTATAACAGAAATTAACCATGCAGGAAAATATGTAACACTTGGCAAGTGTTTTTTTTTTTGCAAATTTCAAGTTAATTCTGATGGATTTATATGTTAGCATTACTTAAGTATTTTATAACTAAAAAGAAAAGATTATGCATGGCCTGAGGAACCAAAAGGAGGGGGTATGCCCCTCCTTCCCCTCCCCGATAATATTGCCGATATTAAACTATATAATATGATAATTAAAATGAAATTAAATTCCCCAACTTAGATTGTTTCTGCAGGCCGAACGTGAAAATTCTGTATATAGTAATAGATATCTTTATTACCATTTAAGATAATACCTGCTTTTTACATAAAAAATTATGAATTTATGAAAATCAACGATATTATGAAATATTTGTAAAATGGAATGACTTTTGTTATGGCGTCGTAAAAAAAGAAAAAGGGGCAGGGGGTTAACTCTGTACTTAATATATTTTAGTTTAGGAAAGGGGATTACCTTGGAAGTATTGTGATACAGACAAGTATATAATGTAATGGACTAGTGGTAACTGAATTGTATATATACCACAGTAAAATAATAAATTTAAAAAAAAAGGTTTTTGCTGATGTCATCCAGTGTTTACTTGTGAAAGAAAATTCATATTCAGCTAACATTTTCACCGGTACCACTGCACTAATTTAAGTCAACTAGGTTCAAATAATAAGCATCATTAGAATTACAGCACATAAATTTTTGAAAAGAATTTCTATACTCTATTTTTTCTTGAAGGGGGGTGTTATTGGAAAGAAATGAAAACTACAATTTAGAGTTTTGACAAAACCTAGAACCAATTGACCTTCTTATTACAAGTTTATATTTAAAGAATATCTAAAATCAATACCGTCTCAACTTTGTGTTGTATACTTCTGTTTTTAGAATGAAATTCGCCACTTTGAAGCCAAACTCGGAAAGAAGCAGAAACAGAATTGGATGAGCTGATATAGAATTAGACAGGAAAAACGTGTAAATAATACATTTAGTAAAAAAGTTAACTTTTTAAAATAAAATGATAAACCATTGAGATTTCTTGGAATTTAATTGATTCCAATAAACATGATTTGCATCATTGCTCCAGCCCAACTAGAAATGGTTCCAATTTTGCAAGTACTAGTATATGAAGGCAAAGCTGTATAATATTATTACATTTTAATTTTATCACTTTTTCAGATTATCATTATGAGAATACATTATTACAGTACAGACCATTGATGCTGGAAGTGAGTAGATAGTGTTACCGGAGACTCAGGGATCCAGAAAATAGATCCATAAATTGTACAATGTATTCATGAAAGTGGATCAAATAAAAATGTTCAATCCAAAAGCAACATTCTTTGTTTGTCTGTTAGCATTTTTTTTATTGATGTAAATCTAACAAGCTAATTCAGAGAATTTGTGTCCCCGCTTAGGGAAAAATAAACCATGTTCGGGGTGAGGGTTGGGGGGGGGGGGTTCGGATCGCAGAAGGATAAAACGTACGCTGAAATAGGACCTGGGGTCCCCCGCAAATAGTTCGTCATTTTGCGTAGTAATAAAACATTCTAGGAACTCTTCAGGTATTAAAGGCACAAAAGTAAATTCATCGATATCAATACGGAGACCTCAGGTCACCTTATATATTAATTGAATTTTAAATGATAGACAATTTTCTTTGTCTTACTCCAAAATAATCATATTTATAACTTTATATAGATGAACTTTCTTATATATATATTAGCAGAAACATGAAAGTATAAAGGATGACCAGAGGTAACCTCATATTTTACATCAATAGGGGACCAAAGATCACCTTACATTGTACATCAGTAGGGGTACCAGAGGCCACCTTATATTTAACATGTTAGGGAGACCAGTGGTCACCTTATATTGTACATCATCAGAGGTATCATAGGTCACATTACATTTTTTTTTTAAAAAACAAAAGGGGTCCTAAGGTAATCTTTTATTGCACATAATGGGGGGACCTGGGGATACCTTATATCGTACATCATTTGGGGGACCAGAGGTCACCCTATATTGTACATCAGTAGGGGGACTACAGGTAACCTAATATTGTACTGTTCATCAGTAGAGGGACCAGAGGACACCTTATATTGAACATCAGTAGGGAGACCAGAGGGCACCTTATATTGTGCATTCGGGGGGGGGGGGGGTAGGAGGACACCTTATACTATACATCTGTAGAGGGACCAGTGGACACCTTATATTGTACATCAGTAGGTAGAACAGAGTTCACCTTATATTGTCATAAGTCGGGGGACGAGATGACACCTTATATTGTACATCAGTACGGGGACCAGAGGTCACCCGATATTTTACATTAGTCTGGGAACTAGTGGTCACCTAATATTGTACTATACATCAGTAGAGAGACCAGAGGTCACCTTATATTGTACATCAGTAGTAGGACCATAGTCATCATATATTGTACATCAGCAGAAGGACCAGAGGTCACTTTATATTGTACGGGGACTAGTGGTCACCTAATATTGCACTGTACATCTGTAGCTGGACCAGAGGACACCTTTTATTTTACATTAGTAGTAGGACCAGAGGTCATCTTATATTGTACATCAGCAGAAGGAACTGCCCCTGCGAGACGATCATGAATAATTCATGAATTTCCATGAATTTTTCATGAATTTTATTCATGAAATGTTCATGAAATGTTCATGAAGATCCTATTAACTTATTAGTGGACATTTACAAATCAAGAATTTTTATTCATGAAAGAAAATTGATGAATATTCATGAATATTTTTTTTCATGAATAATTCATGAAGAGTCATATTCATGAAGATTCATCATTTCAAGAATGTCCAATAATAAGTTCATTGCATCTTCATGAACTATTCATGAATAATTTGACGAATTTTTTCAGGAATGTTCATGAATGAATAAAGTTCATGAACCATTAACATTCTTGAATATTCTTGCTTATTTGTAAACAAAAAATGCAATATTATTATTCATGTTTATTCATGAAAATGCATGA